CAACAAAAATAAAAATCTTGCACAACATATGGACCTAAAAAAAATTTTGCACCACCCTAAGCCCCAAAAAAATGTTACATAAGAGAAGGAAAAAAATCCTACACACCACCAAGAGAAAAAATGTGTCCTACCCAAAAGCCACGAAGAAAAAAAAAATCTTGCTCACAAGAAATCATCCACCTTTAATATCATGGGATATTATGACTGATATATTTTTGAGTTGTCCAGAATGAGTACTTTCTAAAAAAAATATCAGCAATGGTATCCCATAATTTTCAAGGCTACTTTGATATATATGAATATTAGCGTTGGTGGGTCAGAATTATTGCAAATAGCTTTAGATGGATATTAGCAAAAAGTGTATAAGTGCTTGGTTTTGCGTTTAAAATGTGTAGCCTTAGACAAAGATTGCTACTGCAATTGATTGACTGAGTGATTGACTGACTGACTGACTGATTGATTGGTTGTTTGTTTGATCGATTGATTAATTGTCTGATTGATTGATTGATTGATTGATTGATTGATTGATTGATTGAATTGATTGATTGATTGATTGATTGATTGATTGATTTTTGCTAGTTTAAACAGCAGGCTGACCAATTGCAATGGCACCCAAGCAAGATAGAAAAATCGCCATACCTCTCGTTCTACCTAATAACTGTAACTGGGACGAGAAGACCGGAAAATATACCACGAAACCGAAWGTCGAACGTGAAACTCTAACCGTGGTTCCTAAAGCATTAGATCAACTACGAGAAATCAAGGGTCATGTATGCGTGGTWTCTATTGCTGGTCCTTGCAGAAAGGGGAAATCGTACATCCTGAGCAAGGCATTTGACCAAGGAGAGGTAATGAATCGATGCTTACTTCTATAGATATTGCCATACGAGGCGGTGGGTCGGCGATCATGTTTATAGTGTTATCGTTTTCACATAGTATTTCAGGATAATTCTGATTACTCTGTTCAGATGATATCTCGCGATAAAACATAAAGCAAAATTGCTTTTAATTCATCTGCTAATTCCAGGGACATAGTGTGCAAATACTCTGAAAGTAGTTACTTAAGGTCCAAAATTTGGAAAATGGACAGTACTCTACTTTCTTTCAAAAATAAAAACGCCGAACTAGATCCGCATACAAAAAAAAATACCCTCAAAAGCATCAACATCAAGATGATTGTTCTAATTATCTCTAACCTTTGTATGCAGGTGTTCCCCCTGGGTCATCTTATGGAACCAGAAACCATGGGAATATGGCTATGGGTGGTGCCAGAGAAATTCAAAGACAGTACAGGAAGAGAGTTCACAGTAGTTCTGATGGATTCTGAAGGCATCGATGCAGTTTCCAGTGAAGAATCTGATGATCACAAGATCTTCACTTTGTCAGTTTTGTTGTCATCCATCATGATTTATAATTCTGCTGGTGTGCCACAAAGATCTGATCTTGAAGGCTTGAAGTATCCTTGTTTATGAATTTCAGTGACACTAAAACGAGCCTTGATTTAAACTTGATTCATGTAAATAAGTCCTAGTTTACCCTACTTTAGTTTATCTGGTTATTGTAGTTTAACTTGTAGTTCAGCTTCATTGTCAAATTGTCCCAACGCATACAGCTGCACACAAAACAGCAGCCCACCGATGACCAGCATTTATGCGAAGCCTTTCCTTACTTTGTCTGGCTGTTGAGAGATGTGGTGCTCTCCCTCCCTGAAGGTTGCAAGACGATGAAAGATTACTTCTTAAAACAAGTAAACATTCCCGGGGGGGGGACTCCCTAATATCAAAGGGCGGGGGTCCTCGGCGGAAATTATGAAAATGACCCCTAAGAGGGACCTGTATTTGGAGATGATGGACGTGGCAGTGCTGAAATTTCATCCCTAAAAGGGACCAATAATCTCGTCTATTAAGGAGTGTTAAGTGACAAGACGTGAAATTGATTAAAATAAAATCAATCATCTAATTAGCAGCTGTGGTTTTTGATCTCATAATGACACGGCTTAGGGACGTCATATACCCTAAAAGGGACCACAAAACTCAGTTGGTGGGAATTCTCGTCATTAATTATCACCCTAAGCGGGACAAAAATACCTATTTCAAACCCTAAAAGGGACGCCGAGGACCCCCGCCCTTTGATATTAGGGAGTCCCCCCCCCCGGGTAAACATTACACCTCTAAGTAGTGAATGTAAACAGAAATTGTAAATCTCTTATAGAGCTATTTCAGAAAACGTTGAATTCTAAATATTAAATACTCCATAGTGCATTTTTAAGACCGTTATGTATTGTTTCGCGTTAGATGCGTTACAAAATGACAATTATAAATTTATTTTTTCTTTGCAATAACGTTCTTGACTAAACTAAGCTGGTATGGTCAATCTGAAACCATGAAAACGCCTTTTAGAAGGGCAAGATAACGACCAACAACTGAATACACTTAAGTCTAGAACACACTATCTTCATTTCAACGCTTTAAGCAATAACTGTATAATTTAAAGTAAAGTGACAGACTAACAATTGTTAAATAGCCGGCTCCTCGCTCCCAACAAGCAATGGACTGATTCCCGAGGATGACACAAATAAATACTTTGTAAAAATGAACAGTTAATCTGTGAAAAAAAATGGTGCCTTGACTAGTGTTTCTTTTCAATTTCCTTTTACTAGTTTGTCAATTTTTTTATTCATCTACTCGCAAAATGCTTTTCTATTCAAAGGTTCTCAACAGTAAAGCAAGAGGAAACACCGAGAAAGCCAGGAAGACCGCTGAGAGTATTTTGAAGTATTTCTCTGGATTTGATGCATTTTCCCTTCCTCCTCCAGCCGCTGACGAAGACGTAAGTTGCCATCTAGGAATTGCTTGATTTTATAGATTCGTCAATTAAATTTTCTCATATGTTGAATGAATAAAAAACAAACATATGGGTGCATACACATCACCAATACCGTGAGGAGGAGCTCCGAAAACCACACAAAAAAAAAAACAGCAAAAAAAAAACAGTACGGTGAAGTGCGGAGTTTCGATGGATAAAAGATGCTTTAGATGGAAGTGGCAAGTTGGCGTTTTGTAGTAAAACAATTCTCTCATTTACATGATCAATTTGATGTGTTAGTATGATTTTGCAAAATAAAATAATAAAAAAAAACGTTACCTTGCTCCTGAACCATTACATCAAGCTGCATTGGGGCGCCATGATTGCAGCCTAGCATACACTAGCAAGTTTGTCGCGCGACAGGAGATATTTGTAGCGATTTTATCCATGCTAAGATTCTATGGCGTGAGGCTTATCAGGCTAAATGTGACCTTGCCGTGTGTTGCCAATGCCAAAGAATTAAACCTACAACAAACAATTTATTTTAAGGTTATAAAGAATCTCAACAATGAGGAATTCAAAGAGAAAGTCAGCAAAAAATTCCTGGATAAAATCGACCACTTCAAATCTGCTCTTACCGCGAAGCTATCGCCCCAGAATTCCATTAACAAAGGAGAGTTCGTCACCGGCGAAGGTAAAGGTAGATTTTCAATTGTAAACAAAACTAATTAATGCTAACAGGTACAAAAACAATAATGAACCAACCAACCAACCAACAAACAAACGCCACTAAGAATACGTTGCTCATTGTTTATTCAATGTACATACAAAATTTCCTTTGCAGCGTTAGCAGCTCTGATCGAACTGTTCGTAGAGGCACTCAACACCCCTGGTGCTACCCTTAATGTACAAAACGCCTGGGACACATTTGTACAAAACAAGTGCAGAGAGGTCTTAGCTGATGCAGTGAAAGCATACGAGCAGGAAATGGCGTCACCCCGGGGGGGGCACTCGACCCCATTTTGGATAGGTACGTGCCGCCAGCGGTCTAAATCCCTGACCCTGTTTAAGACACTAAAAAGTAAAAATCCATACCCTGTTCAAGACAAATCGGAAAAATAAGGAATAGCTATCTACGCCGCAACCATCAAAACTGCAATTATACTGACATCCATCAAAGACAATAAGAAGTTTTTGATAACACGTTAATTCTGGAACAGTGAAACGGTATTTCTACGGTGTTATGAAAATATTACCCTGTCCAAGACACACAAAAAAATTATATCGGTCTCTTTTATCTAAATTGTAGAGCCTGTTTAAGACAATTTCGGGTGAAATGTATACCCTGTTTAAGACAGCAAGGCCAAAAACCATACCCTGGCCAGCGGCACGTCCCCGTATAGCAAATATATGGGAGTACCCCCCCCGGGGGCGTCACTCGAGAAGATAATTCCTTGTGACGCCGATTTGTTACGATCTGCGCATGATGAAGCCAAAAAAGAGTGCCTTGAAATGTTCCACAATAAGACATCTCCATTTTCTATTATCAGCGTTGACAAGTACTTGAAGAAATTGACGGTGAATAAATGTGCACCTATGTTTTACTTTCTTGAATTAAGAACCTATAAAAATTAGTAATTATAAGTAATAAATTATAAGTAATAACATGGCACAAGGGATTAAAATTTCCCTGAATATCGAGGATAAATTAGTGGTCCCGACGGCGCAGCCACAATAAGCAGACTTATACTAAGCACTTAAACCTGTTTAGCTTAACATGGAAAATGGCTTTTAAATGTGAAATCTTTTATTACAATAGCAAAACACAGATTCCGTCTATTCAACGTGGCTCAAAAAGAACAGAAAAGAGAGCAAAATCTTTTGCACAGAAAGAATTAAAGAACTCAAGGAAAAAATTCTCCAACCAGTCCTTGATCGTCTTCACAGTCACGAAGGATCGAAAATGCAGTTCACTGAAATTGTTGCTGCTTACAATGAAATCCAGCAAAAGTATTCCAGCCAAGCTGAAGGACCTAAAGACATCCAGGCATCGGTGTTTACAAAGAGCTTTAATCCAGTAAATAAAATTGCACATTTTGAAATTTGTTAATTTTGAACACATCTAGCTGATTCCTTGAAAACTGGAAAAAGGGAACATGCTCAACTTGTTAACATAACATGTAGTTGATGCAAGATAGCTCGAAGTATATATGCTCTTGGGTTTTGCCCCGTTTAGTACAAATATAGCTAATGATGAAAATGAAGTGTGATCTATCGAGCCTGTTTGCTTTTTTCATAGTGGTAGAACGTTTCTCAAAACTCAGCTATGGCGTTTTGCTGTGAGATTATGATTTTATTTTTTCGCATCATTGCAATGACGATGACAATCGCGCTCGATATTAACAGCAGGCTTGGTTTTTAAAAATACATAGCTAGAATAAGTACAAAATAAGTTCTATAATGATGATAGTACTTTAAGCATGAACAAAAACTTGTTATGATATCATACATAAATTTTCATTTACATTTTCAGGAATTTCTAAAAGAAATGGAGCATAGCCTTCATCTCCTGCAACGGATGAAAGACTTTGACGAAGCCTTGACCAAAGAAAAGGCCGCCAAAGCTTTATCAGAGGAAAAGAGACTAAAAGTAGAGGTTAGTTTAAACACTTTTTTTTCTGACCAGGAAACATGGTGTCATTATGGTTACTGTAATGATTATTGTATCCCTTCGTTTGGGATACATTATATCCACCAAAATTATGGGCTATATTATAGTCAGCATGAAAATTAGTCGCATGAAAATTGTTTTTTTCTCAGATTTGACCAATAGTTTGGTTGGAAACTAAAACTCGGTCTCGTGAACTTTCAACTTTTAGTATTACCATACTAGTGGACTATTGCAAATCCTTCGTTCTGATTGGCTACGCTATTCGGGGTCAATTTTCATGAGTACTCGACTAGTGAAAAGTGCCAACTTTGATTTTCTTTTGGAAATATTGTCGGTTAAATCGATGTATTAAGGACAATTTTTTCGTTGTTGTTGTTTTTTTGTTTTTTTTTTGTTTGTTTGTTTTTTTCACTTAAACCAAGTTTTCAAGTGAATAGCCGACTTGCGAATTGATTTTCACTTGTCAAACATGTCAAGCGTGTAAAAAAGATGTCGGAGATGATTGATACAAATTTAATTGAAGTCGTTTTTACCATTTTTCTCATTCGTTATTTTTCTTTTTTTTTTTTTTTGGTCCAACCAGTATAGTAATACTAAAACAATTAGACATCTGGGCCTCGTGGACTACCGAACTGGTAGCCAATTCAGCGTTAGGCCTCACGAGCTATCAGGTCGTAATCCACTCGCCCTCGAGGTCTAATTGTTAAATATCTTTCTCGATATACTTCTCGCGAAAGCACTTCCGTTGCACCTTATGGGTCTTATTGGTGCTTCAAAACGGCAACGAACACCAGTGTATCAGTATGTAATATACATTTGACTCTTAGGAAGAGAAAGCTCGTATCGCAGAAGAGAAAAAGAACAAAGAAAGAGAGGTATGTAAGGCATACTAAAAACCAAAACCCGTAAAATAGTTTGATGATTGTGTTAAATACACCTTAAAAAATATCCCTTAATTGCATTTCTTTTGTGTCTTTTTGACTTATGCCTTTCGGATTTAGGGAGGTTTTAATTGGAATTTACACTAGGTAGATCTAAAGTCCATAATAAGGATGCTCAATTGGTTGCTTTTATCGAAGCACGCAGCAGGGCTGAGGGATATTTCAGCCCACTTTCGCCTCGGCTTTCTAACTTGAGAATCGAATTTTTTCCCGCCATAACTGTAAGCATTGACTGATTAACTAATAATTAATATCTTTTCAAAGATTGAGCTACTTACTAAAAGGTTTGAGGAAGAGAAAGTCAGATTGAAAGAAAGTTTTGAGAGAGATTTGCAAGACCACAAAGAACAGCTGCAAAACATGATAAATGCTAACTTCGAGGACCACAGAAAGGAAAGACAAGCTTCTCTTTCTGATCAAAGTCAATTAAGAGCTATGTTATGCGAACTAACCGCGTTTGTTAAGCCTACCCCTAGTGATAATGTATTTTATGATGGGGATGGGGATGTTGATATGGAGTTGGAGTATAATGAATATTAATGAGCAAATCTAATAGTCAAAGTAGAAAACGTAGTTTTGACAAAACAACATCAACACACACCCCTCCGTAACGTGTCCTGGGTACGACCAGAAAATTAGAGTTGCTAGCTATTGTCAGGTTCATAGTGTTGTGGCCAGGCTTTGCACTAAACTAATTTACCAACTTCGAGGCTGACCATTTGACAGATTTGAGTGGATTTGATCTAATGCAGGAACTTATTTAGACCCTAATCAAAGCGCTCGGAATTCATTTGACAAAAATGCTAAAATTCTAGTGAAGATTTTACCTTGCAGATAATGTTATTTGGATCCTTCGGACCATGCAGGAAATTTATTTTCGAAATCATCCCCCCTCCCCATCTCTCAAGTCTACTGTAGTTAAACAACATAGCTCAAAATGGCCGTGCGTTGGGACGATAAATCGATCGAATATTTATGAAAATAAATACAGAATTATTATTTCCCTTAATTGCTCTTTTTATTATTCTCTACTTGCGCATACCCATAATACCTTCTGATTTTGGGGGGTAGTTATTGTTATTGAAATCATTTATATTTGAATAACAATTAATTTTATTTGCATCACAAAACCTATCCCCCAAAATCAGAAGGTATTATGGGTCATGTGCAAGTAGAGAATTTAATTGTTTTGCTCCAACGCACGCGCGGATACTAGTACTTCCGTGTAAGACTTCATCGAATGACACTAATGATGATCAGAAAATAAACAATTATAACTGTAAACCATCAGTGAAAAAAAGAGAAAATCAATAAAATAATAGATATTGATAATAGTTAACACTATTATCAATTGATTAGTCTGTTCTCGTTTTGGGCTTCCTGTGTCCTAGCCAGAAAGGAGAAGAGCACAGGAAGTCCGAAACGAGACTATACACAAATTCACAGTCAAGAGTTTTAAACATATATTTTGTGATTGATATCAGCAGATAAAGAATATCTTTACATGTAAGATTACTTAACTTTTGATACTCACCTCCGAACTACTGTAAATAGTTGATGTAAACAAATTTCATTTGTGCGTGTCCACAAAATGTGATCGAGTCGATAGTCTTCGCGCGCCTCTTGATCAAGTATTCGACAAGATCTGCATTCGCCTGATATCTACCAAGATGACATGTATAGTAGTAGTAGATTCAGTAGTAGTAAATTCAATTCAAAACTATTCCTATTTTTGTTGTCAGAGTTTACATTCAGAAAGCAGAAAAGAAAGAACTTTTAGCTACGAGCTTTTAAATTCGCCATGGTCGGTTAACTTTGGCTTCAAAGACTCGTCACTAATCTTCGCGCGGTCACCCTAGCAGTAAACATCCCGCCCACAGCGATTTTACAATTGATTTTATTTTTGCGAGACGAAAAAGTCATCAAAGAATGGTCACGATGTAAAATTCCCCGCCACCTATATTCTGTTTCACTAGAACCTACTCGTCTTCAAATACCTTTCTATTTGACATTGTATTTTCGATACTAGTTGTTTAGTTAGCGCAAGTGGTTAATCATCTATAGTCTTGGTACCGATTAGCTTCTTTCTACCTGGCTTTTTAGTTAGAGTAAAGTACCTGGGATAGGATTGAAGAGCCGAAAAAGCTAACAGGGGTGTAAGTCGATTCGACGCCTCAGCTTTACAGGAATGCCTCAGTCTTATAGCAGTCATTATTCTTGATGTTGTTGTTGTTGCTGATGGTTTTTTTTTTTTTTTTTTTTCAGAATTTAATGATTATTATCAATAATCCAGTTTCGAATTCTCCAATACTCTGTGTTAGCCTCATTTGTGCGCAAAATATTCCTAATTGTGAGAATAAAAGTGTGAGATTTCAAATCAATTCYATTGTCTTTCTTTTCAAATTCCATGCGTTTTCTCGGGCTATCAATGAAACAAAAGAATATGTCACTTGGTTTTGAGACTATTACACAGAGCAAACCAGAACGCGAAATCGGAGTATTGTCACTATGTTGTGACGTCAAAAATATGAAAATTGCTGCATGAAGAGTTGAAATGCGTAAAATATTGATTACTTTCCATCCAATCCCAACCAAATGACATCACAACAAACTGCAATTGTAGATGCTGGTTTACAAACTGACAATACTTGCCAAATTTTCAAAACAAAGATGTTAAAATGTTGGTAACCGAAATACTGAAAATTGATAATAAAACATAAGAATTCTCATTTCTAGATTTTGTTCTTTCAAACTCTGCGTTGAAGGAAAATGAAATGCAATGATTTCATTTTCACATCAACTCTATTGGATTTGTTCTGTAACTTTTTAAAAAAATTAGAGATAATTTACGATGATTATTCGGGAGAAAAATCAATCAATTCATCATTTATTCTTCACAATCGCTGTTATTTCTGGCAGTGTTTTTTGGCTGGTGGCTGCCAGTCATAATCACTAGAGTTTTGAAGGATGTTCAGTTTGCCACCAGTCATAACATGTTGTTAACGTCTCGACATTGTTTGGTACAATCTAGTGACCAACCACAGGTCATTGTTGCTATGGTTTCATCGTTTCTATGACTACCAAACAGTAGCTAAAGATTGGCCGTCACCAAGGTGATATGCTTTGGAATAGATGAAAGGAAAGAGAAAATGGAAAATAAACGAATGTCATTTAATTTTCAAACAATTGACAGACAAATCCGTGACAGCGTGACTATTTTTGTATGGCTGAATTGCGTGACAGTCTCGATGTGTGACATCCATGAGATTTTTAGTAGAACATACTAGTCAGAAAGCTGATTATCCGCAATGTGTTCCCTCAGCAGTTCCCCTTCGCTTGCAGCTCCGGCTCCTGTAATATTTCTCATGCCAAGTGAAAAATCTAGGCTCAACACTTCCGGTTCTAGCTTGATTCACTGTGGACATCCCCCTAATGCACGTGATCGATTAATCATTCTAAGAACCTTTAATCAGTTACTATGTGCAAGGAATTCGTGAGGCATGACAATATCAACTTACAAACAATAACATTAAAACATTGTATGCTGAAAGCATTAGCTTACATTTCATGGACATCTATCTGTTCTCGTCTTTATTCCACTCGATTCATCGTTCGTTTTGGAGAGAAATTCGAATCCTTTTGCACGTGTGCGTCACTCAGCATCTTCCRGTTATGGCCAAAGGCCAATAGCGACATGCCCAGGCTGAGATTTGGTATTGCGTAAGTGATAATAGTAATAAAATATCAAGAAAATAAAGCAAAAATATTTTTAATTAAAAAACACCAAGATTACTTTATAGTGTAAGCAGTTTTCAGCATTTTGAAAGCTTAGGATTGTTCAAAGATGTTTTATGATGTCTGAGGTCAGCTTGTCGATATCATCGTGGTCAGTGGCCATTTCCGTTTGCTGAGGTATCGTTTTGCAATCTAGACCTAAGATTTTCTACACGTTTAGACCTGATCAGATCAGACATCTATATTACAGGGTTCACAAAGTAAAATCCTGAGAACACTTTAGAGGTGACGCTATTGATATAAAAAGCAAATATTTTAGTTTCTACATATCTAAGTAGGGAAAGAAATTGTTCGATTATCGCGCGATCATATCATCGCTGATTAGACAGTTCACCCCTTTAAACTTTGTCAAGTCTGACACGGCTGAAGCTATTGACAACCACAATACAGTCAGTTTTAATTTAAAATAACTTTCGATTTGTTTATCACATAGCTCTTAGCTCAAAGCAAACAAATATCTATAGAATAACAAATTTACGTTGATTTAGGATAAAAAGTTTGCCTATGGTATGGCGCTGTGATTGGCTGSCCTTGTGACTTGACACATGAGTCACGTGACGTTTTAATATTTAGTATATATACGAAGAGCGCTTGCGTCGATCAGTCATAGAAGGGTACACGTGAAATGACGGTGAATAAAGTATTAGTAGGTAACGACCAAATGTCCGAAGAGATTGCTACAAAAAGAGATGAGTCTGCCGCCGATCGTGTCACCGATGGTGTTGCAGGGACTCCTAAAGAGGCGGCCCTTAGAGCTTTAATGGAAAGAACGAAATACCCGATAAAACAATGTAATGGTCAAAGACGCTACGGTCCTCCTCCAGGCTGGGATCGACCGGCGCCTCCACGAGGATGCGAGGTCTTTGTTGGGAAAGTTCCTCGAGATCTCTATGAAGATGAGCTCGTGCCGGTATTTGAGAAACTAGGAAAGATTTACGAAATCCGCCTTATGATGGATTTCAACGGACAAAATCGCGGCTATGCTTTCGTTGTTTACACAAATCGAGAAGACGCCAAGAAATGTATCAAGACGATGAACAATTATGAAATAAGAAAGGGGAAATGTGTTGGAGTATGTTCTTCTGTTGATAATTGTAGATTATTTGTCGGTGGTATTCCTAAGAAAGTAAAGAAGGACGAGATTTTTGCTGAAGTGTCCAAAGTCACCGAGTGTGTCGTTGATGTTATAGTGTATCCATCAGCACAGGACAAAACCAAGAATCGTGGCTTTGCTTTTGTGGAGTATTCAAGCCATCGGGACGCTGCCATGGCAAGAAGAAAGTTAATGAGTGGAAAAATACAATTGTGGGGACATCAAATCGCTGTGGATTGGGCTGAGCCGGAGCAAGAAGTCGATCAAGATATAATGGACCAGGTACGTTCGCTTTGCACTTGTGCCTTTCTTTGCCCCTCCCCCATTATTAGCTAGAGGTTGAAATAGGGCCAACACATCAACCATAAGCAATACATACACTTGTTACATGATAAAATCATTCCTAACAGTACAGAGAGTGAGATATTTTTCAAAATATTACCGGTATTTCATTTTGTGTGTCATGTTTAAAGATGGTGTTTGTTGATGTCGTGTTGTATGTCGACTTTCTTGTAGTCTTGTATTGAGATAATTAGACATTGAATAGCACAATCCGTAGCAAACATAAGCTTTACTATATATTACCAGTGCACTGAGCCCTGAAGAAAAGAAACCGACTCGTTTTAATAAGTTTTTATTGTAATCTTTTGTGTTTAAGGTGAAGGTCTTGTACGCCAGAAACCTTCTTTTAAGCACCACAGAGGAAACAATTGAAGAGGCTTTCAGTAAGTTCGGCGAAGTAGAACGAGTGAAAAAGATCAAAGACTACTGCTTTATTCACTTCAGAACGAGAGAGCAAGCAAGAGAAGCTTTGGAGGAAATGAACGGTAATGAATATTTCACTTTTTTAGCTTGAAAAGTTAGTACGAACAGGTAGAAGGCTGGTTCAAGCCTTGCTAGGTCATCCATGAATACATACCCTGCCACAAGACTGACCTTTACCCGCTGTTTTTTGGTCATTACGCTTGATAGTCCACTAAATAGCTTTGTTAAATCTTAATACTGGATTTCACACTCAATTTGCTTTCTTTGTTATCGAAATATAAGCAACGCGTCCCTGGGGAAATTTCCGTCGCAGCCGCCATTGTGAACGGCTGATTCTCGCACCTCTATTAGGCTAACATGTGAAATTGACTAAGTTACTACCTTTAGCGCGTTGTTCATAAATGAAAATTACTTACAAACCACTTTCGATAAGTGAAATGTGTTTTTTCTTTGATGTTTTGGTATCTATTTTATGTGTACAAGTGATTTTGGGTTTATTTTTCCGCCTGGCWTTAAATGTTGTGACATTTTGTGTTGCTATGAAGTTTCTTTTCTAATTTCGATCTACAAGTTGTCATTTCATTATCAATGCTAATCCGTTTCTCGTGCAACAATTTTCAAATTAGTTTGGCATACATACACTTTTAAGAACTGTTCAATTCAAAATCCTTCCTCTAGTTTTTTTAATCAATTAAAAAGTGGACATTGTTCCAGTGTTTTGATGTGCTGTCACGTGGAGGTTGTAACTTGATCTTTTACTTGGCAAAGATGAAGCTCCATCAGCTTTCAAATTGCGGATTTTTCCCTTGTCAAAGGCTGCAAATAAACTTAAATGTTGCTACATTCATTGAAAACAGATGTCAAAGTTTGAAGCCGCCTCTTTCAACGCCGAATCCAGTTAATAATGTGGTTGTACKCAGGCACTAGTCACAAGACCAGCACTTGAGTGGAGAGACCAAATCTATAAATAGTTGTCTTTCCATCTAAACAGAGTTTTTCCTGTGAACGAAATACGATCTATCTTACTTTTGACCTTAACCTCCCCTTCATCGCTCCACGATAATTTTTTCATTATTTTGACAAAACTTAAAGATTTCKAACTAAAACGATTGAAACTCGAAGGGTGTTTTAGTCTTGAGCGGAAATGGCGTGAGACCAACAAGTACAGTTTGTTTTATTTTCTATAACAATAAAAATGTATAGATAGTATTTGAGGTATAGATAATCCAATGTAATGCTATTTCTTTTGGTAAGATTTGATTCGTAAAAGAGCTATAATCGAAACATTATAACTAACCGACTTACGCGGTTTTTTTTTTTCTTCAAAAGCCACGTCAAATATTTCTTTACGACTTAAATTCTTGATATGCCCAGGCAAATTGTCAGTTTGTTGTTCAACATCGACCTTGTTACAGCTTAGAAGAGATTGTGTGATGCGATCCTGTCAACAAGGTGTGTGTCAGGAGTTATTACATTGAATGCTGAAAGATGGATTACTGTATTCTCTCCTCAACCAGTGTTTTCGCTCTGTCAAGGTCGTACTCGAAGAACAAATTTTAATTCTAAGAAAAGCCTGATAATTTCTAAAATGTCGTAAAAATATCATCTAAAAGTTCAGATTGTATTTATAAATGCGTATTTGATAGAATTTTAGTCAATACTTCCCAATAAAACTTAATTGAAAAGATGCGTACTTTAAAGTTACTTTTGTAAAAAATCTTGTTATGATTTCAATCACAATTACTACCCCGATGTGTTAATATAACAAACGTTTTCAGGTATGTTTACATGACTTAAAATTACTGCTTTGCAAGTCATCATGGTTAAATGTATATTATTTAAAGTTTACATGTATTCTGCTGAAAAGCATGTTTTTCAAAATCTTATATGCTGGTTATTGTGTACAATCCTAAATATAAAGAAAACTTGTTAGTGTTAATTGTTGGGATTTGATAGCTAAAAAATTAATATGTAAACAGTCACAATACTCATCAATGTTTTGAAAACTAGCCATGCCTTCATCAAAGTAAAACCACAAATCAGCTTGCTATGATGGATATAATTATTGCTGTATGTATAGCTGTCTATCGCTGCATACTGATACAATAGAGACACAACTGACGTTTCTACATGGGACAATCAATATAGTTTGTCAATAGGATGCCACCCTTTTTTGACAGTTTAAAGCACTGTTTTTCATGAACGATGAAACTTAAAGCTTCATTGTTAGTTGTAGTTACAGTGTATGAATGTGAAGTTGTGCTGTTTTCTCTATGAGACTGTTCAAAAGTATTGTTATAGCTGTCCAGTGATTGTATAGTGACTGTCATACAATCTTTCAAAATCTTTTCTGATAACTATCAACTGCGCATTTATTACAGGCAACAAACTTTGATTCTACAATTTTAGTTACAAGAGAGCAAAGATTTTGTGATTAAAACCCCAAATAACCTGCTATAGTAGACAGAATTTAATACAAACTTTCACGTTATTTTTCCAGGTAGTAAACTTGATGGAAATGAAATTGAAGTAACATTAGCAAAACCAGTCGACAAGGACCACCGTCAAGCAAAGCTTGCTGCAAAGGCAATGATGTCAGCATATAATTACATGCCTTATGATTATTCGCCAGCTTTTGTGTATCCATACAGTAATCCTTATATGGCAATCCCTCCGCATAACCAGATGACCAAGTAAGTCAATGTATAGAATGTACTTTGCCCAGGAAGTGCATAGAGCATAAATTAGATGTCACTTTGCTAAAGTTTAACATTACGATTGTGGGGGTTCTTGAGGGTCCAAAGAGATGCATGGTCTCTACTATAATTAACGTTGATCTTAGAGCGCATGTGGTTACTCCAAAACGTAACTGATATGAAAGATAAATTGGAATATCTGGGATTAAATCATATTATAAACAAAAGCTGTTGTTCTGTCAAATCACGTGATTGTTTTACAGACTTACTAACAACTCGATAACATAGTGGTTACCCGTCTTAAGACAGGAGTAACCACAAAAAGCAATTCAAAATGAACAACAAAGAAATGATTTTTCGTTCCTTAAAAGGGCTACGGTTGTTGTTATTGTTTGAAGATAAAAATACATGATATTGTAAGATTTGACCTTAAAACCAACTGATGGAAACAAATTATGAATGGATATTTAAAGTCATTTTAACATTTCAATACACCAAAAATCTACAGCATGACCGCATTGAATGCTGGTTGATCATAGCCCTTGAGAATTCACCAAAAACTTACTTTTACATGCAAATACAATACAAATTTTACATTCTGATTCTGAAATAATACAAAAGTTTCCACATTTATTTCTCGCTGAATGCTATGCGAATGACATGCTTTATAGTGTTAACTAATGAACATTAAAAGCTTTATACTTCTGACAGCTGTCTTGTTAATACAAGTAACTAGTTGGTTTTACTTCATTTGAGTAAATCTCATTAGCTCAACCAGATGGTTGTCTTACGTTGATCATCCTTTGGTGTTATCAAACAGAAAGAATTATTTGATGTAACCTGTATTCTTAGGACATTTATGGACCAGCTGGAAAACAGCTGTAAGTAATTAGTACTTACAGTCAGTCAAAGAATACCATAAAATACATAAAATACCTAAAATGTGTCTGGAATTTCAGAGGAAGTTAATCTTAAACTGTAACCTGAGACTAGAGGTTATAGAACACTTCAAAAACTCATACGTCATAATTAATGAGTTATTAGGCCAATAGAATGAGCCTATTTGGTCACATGCATGGACCTTTATATCTGATAAAACACTCTCTCTCATGTTTTAAACTATACATAACTTGCCAATTATAAAGTCTTTAACTAGTAGTTGACATTGTCTGGCGTTAATTGTTAGGTCTGTCTGGCAAGGTGATTTGAAATTTGTGTTATAGTTAATTAACAGATGAAAGGTTAAATTTTAATAGCCAGATGTTTTGGACATTAGTCCTTCGTTTAAGTAATAAGACAAAGCTCTGAAACAACAGTACTTTTTCTATCCTCATTACATTTTATAGTAATAAGTTCCCGTTTTATTGGAATTGTTTCATTAGAAAAACTGGCGCTTAAAGCAACAGTGAAAGAGAAACTGACTAGAATCAATCTATTTTGATTGAAGCATGTAGAATCATGTCTCTRAAAAACRCATTTAAKGCTGATCCACACAAGACTTGCCTATTGTAACCAATCATAATCAGAATACTGTTAAACACATTGTTTATTCATCGGTGTCTTTCCAGTGGAGTTGGAAGAGCAGCAGCTGCAACAGGGTACAGTCCAGGAAGATCAAGGGGGCGGGGACGCACTGCAGCTGGTAGTCGATCAGCAGGAAATAAATACTACTTTCCAGGAAGTCCACTAATGTTTAAAGGGTATTATGGTGGCCCCCCTGGACGAGTTGGTTACTATGGTGATGGGGCAAGAAAAGGACAGGGACAAGAGGTTTGGAATGAGGCATTACCTAACTTCATAATGAATTTGTATTATTTCTTTACCCTAAAAACATCAAAAGATGACTACAGTTATCCATAAAAGATCTTGCAAATAATATTCTTAGAATGTTTATGTGCAAGGCAGAGACTTGACATAAAAGTAGAAATCTTTTGGTTATATTTTTTAATTTCTAAGAGTTATTATGGATTACTACAGGAGCGGTGTTTTTAATATGAATCTATGATGCTAAAATTAATGTGGTTTTGATGTTGTTCACTTGAGCACAAAGAAAACTGTCAACTAGGGAACTCAGGGATGAGGGACTTGTGAAGCTACAGTGGAGGCACTTTCTCTTTGATCTTTCAGTAATGAAATGTGATATAAAGTTGATTATGTTTGGTTTTTCCAGGAACCAATGTATGACCTTCTTCCTGGGATGGAATTGACACCAACAAATCCTTTAACATTGAAACCTAATGCTCTCAAGTCTCCAGCACAGGTAAAGAGGCTATTATTTATTAGGACTTGTGTACCCCTTTATTTTCTTTAACCCCCCCCCCCCCCCCCCCCCCTGACAAAATGGAAATTCAACGTCCCCCTTTAAACATGCAGCCCATCTTAGCCATTAGCCAAAGGTCATGTAAATTACTGAAATTTTGTATCTGTTTGTGTGCAAAATCCTTGACACAAAAAGTTTATCGATCTTGAATTCATAATGACAAAAGACTTTGTTTGTCATCCGTGTTTAAACTACTAAAGACATTCTTATTTAAGCAAGCTTATGAACCATAGCTTAGCTTGTCTTATATCTATAT